GAGAAAACATGATTTTGACTGTGTCGAGATACAAAATAAAAAAGAGTAACACTGGGAAAAACTAGAACAAAATATAGGTTGATATATATTTCATCTTGCGATGGGAATGGACTTTTTGGCATTAAAGCAATGGGAAAAAAATCAAAAAGCAAAAGCTTGACATATGTGACACACACAAAAATAAAGCATACATTGCAAAATCGGAACATTAAAAGGCAAACGACAATCTGGGGGAAGAATTTGTGATATTAAGGTATCTGTGATAAAATAAATGCATATTTTCAAAGAACAAATGAGGACCCCACCAGAAAAATGGACAAAGGACATGAACAGACAATTCCCAAAAGGGAAGTGAACAACAGTACAGCCTTCTGCATGCAAATGAACCACAGAGACCTCCTCCAACGCCCCCATCCCATTCCCTACTTTCGGCCTGCTGCGCTGTACTTGGAATAAAGCTGTGTCACTTATTGGTCCACAGGGCACATGGCTGAGACAAAGGCCTGCCCAGAGGATGGCCTGCCCACAGGGCATGTGGCTGAGACAAAGGCCTGCCCAGAGGATGGCCGGTCATTAAATAGCCCCTCAGAAGCCTCACAGTTAGCAGCAGCTTTCTCTGCAGCAAATGCGTTCTGTGAAACTCGGCAACCACTCTGGCAGGACAGGGCTCGGGAGCATTCCAGACTGAGCAGATGCTCGGTGACCCCAGTGGCCCACAAGGAGGGCAGAGGTGGCCTCTTTCTGCACCAGAGGCTCCTCCCCTTCCTCCTCATCTGGAAGCAGCCCCACACCCAGGTGCCACCTCACCCCGAGCCGGTTGGTCCAGCATCCTCACAGGCCAGGTACAAACACAAAGCGTCTGGGTCGAAACATTAGCAAGCTGTCACAACCCAAGGGGCCAGTGGGGCCTGCCCGAGTCCTTCTAAGTGACTGACACTGCCAGTTGTCAGGCTGCAGCCGTGGATGCACTGGTAATTATCATGGCTTATGTAACTGTCCTTATTAAGGCGTGCTGCACAGAGCGAGAGCAGGCTGGACTCACACAGGCTGGGGCTCAAATTCCAGCTCTGGGACTTCCTGGCCTGTGCTTTGGGGAAAGACCGTTCACCCTTCTGAGCCTTGACAAGACCTTCCTCAGAGAGCTGGTGCTCCAGACCCAACAAGGCAAGAGAAGGGCCTGACGCGGTGCCCTGCAGTGAGGAGGGAGGCCCCACACATGCTAGCTCAGACTAGTCACCTCTAAGTCCATGCAGATCCCATGGGGGCAGTGGGTGTGTGAACGGTTCCTGACCAGGAACTGCTGGTACCAACCAAGGCTCCACACGCCCAGACTCCCTGTCAGTTGTGTGCATGCCTGGACATCAAGTGGGCTGCCTCATGTCCATCAGCAGCAAGAGCACCACGTGGTGGTGTGCTGACAGTGTGACCACTGTCCAGGGGGCTTGACACACCCCCTGCTTCTCAGCAGAGCCACCTAGAGTCCTGCACTGCTACCCCTTCACCCTGCAGCCTGTAACAGTCTCCCAGCCCCTCGGCATTGCCCCACTTCCCTAAATGAACTGTGGACGCCTGAGAATAGGAAGGGTTGACAGATCCCACGAGACACTGGAGAGGGGGCTCCTCTTGAGGGTAGCGAGTCCAACGAGTCAGTATTCTGCTCAGATTCTGTGACCTCAGAGAGGTAGGGCGATCAGGCTAGAAGGGCCCTTCAAAGACATCCAGCCCACCCCTCATCTGAACCATGAACACGGTGCAGTGGGCACCCCTGATACCACTGGAATCCGAGTCACCATCACCTATCACCTGGATTGCTGCCCTAGTTCCTGTGTCCACCCCCCACCCCCGTAGTCTACATCCAACACAGCAGCTAGTGATCCTGTTAAAACAAAAGTCAGATTATATGCCACTCTTCAGCTTAAATCCCTCGAATGGGTCCCCATTTCACTGAGTAACATGCAAAGTTCATACAGCCACCCCCCCCTAAGCCCTGGATAACCTGGTTCCTCTGTAACCTCTCTGGTTTCCTCTCTTACTGTTCTCAGCCTTGATCACCTCACCCCCAGGGGTGTGGTACCTGAACGCAGCAGGCATGGGCTGACTTCTGCCCCCCTGCGACTTCTCGCTGGGTCCTCTCTCTGCACTCTCAAGTACACAGAGACCCCCTCCTTCAGGACAGCCCTCCCATCGCTCTGCTCCTTTGCCATGCCCCTGTGCTTTTCTCCAGTTGCTCCTCACTTGCGCTCACTCTCAAGGTGTAACTCTACCTGTTGGCACCCACTTAGAAGTGCGAGTCCAGACCTGAGCCAGGTGAAAACTTTGGGAGGTGGACAGAGGAGAAATGGAGAAATTTAGGGAGGGAAGAAGCAAGACAAACATCCAAGGAGGAGGGACCCATTCAGTTTCTTTCAGCAGGCCATCAGACATAGGACAGCTCCACTGAGAAGCCCTTACTTCTGCCTTCCTCCCTCCAAGCAGTTTAAGAGACAGCCTGACACCCTCAGGACGCCTGTATTCCAGAGAAACCAAATTGAGTCTACACAGGTGAGCACTAGATCCAGGACCCAGGCCTGGCAGGCAGGGGAGGGGCTGAATGCCAGATTGAAGACTATGTGCCCCCACCCCCATCCCAGCAGTGAGCAGCTGCCATTGTTCCCAGCGCTTACCCCACAGCTCAGCAGGGAGGCCAGTCCATAGCAGGAGCTCAGGGTTGGGGGAGAATGAGACAGCAATGGAGAACTTGGATGCTCTGAAGATAGAAGGGTCCAGAAGGGTCTAACGGAAACAAAGCCTGCCTGGGCCAATACAGTGAATCTGAGGTGAGGAAGTGCTGTCTGTGGTCAGCAGGGGCCCGAAGGGAAAAGCAGCTTCTGCAGAATCGCAGGGCCACCCAGGCTCCCGGGATTACTGGGTAGCTCAGGTGAGCGTCCCCATGCAGTTCTGCATGTGACTCAGGGTTGGCTTTGACCCCCATGCAGTTCTGCATGTGACTCAGGGTTGGCTTTGACCGCAGCCTTCCCTCTGCATTTCCAGCCCCCATTCCAGCAGGGGCTGGCATCTCGGCCAAGCCACAGTCTGATTAGCCAGAGAGACCAGCATGTCACAGTGCCCTGGGAATATTAAATAATATTTACAAGGGGGTGACGGCAGGGAAATGATTACCGATGCTAAGAAGCAATCAACAGCAGGGGAACTCCTCCACTGCTCAAGCGGTGAGAAATTCGATGGAATGAGGCTGAGAGCAGCAAGAGTTTGTCATGGGGACAGTGGAGGTTTGTCATGGGGACAGCGGAAGGCATCCCCATGACAAACCTCTGCTGATTCTGTTAATAGGATGAACCAGCCTTGAAAATAAGAGCCAGCCCCCAGGAGGCCTGCATTTGAGGGGATTTTAAAATCAGGCCAGGCCCTGCCTACAGCTTTTGGACGTGTTAGAACTGGAAGGGAACATAGAGATCAGCCATGCCACTGGCTCTCAGTTTTGAAGGCCTCTGCCTTCCAAAAATACTGCAAGTATTAAGTAATAATTAATCTGTTTTTACATTTTTTATTCATCAAAGACACACAGAGGACCACCAGCTGGGACAGGCAGAAGACCTAAAGTTGATGTCACTGCAGCCCCAAACAACAGAGATATACTGGGAGTTTTTCTTGTCAGCCTGGCCATATTATCCAGTATAAATGTATGATTTCCCTTTTAAAGAAATCTGAAACACAAGAGTTAACTTCTAAATACCTGTGGGAGCCTGCAGAATCTGTATCAGAAACCCCAAATCCAAGCCAGCTCTCTTTCAGCAAGGAGCTGAGGCTCAGAGAACGGAAGCAGCTAGCTCAGGGTCACACAGCTGGCTGTCAGCAGGCCCAACTAGGCCTGGGGAGCAGAGTGGAGGGGACAGCTGCCCTGGATACACAAGGGCAGAGAAGGAGCAAATCCGAGCCATGCACACAGAACACAGCGGGTGCTGGACACCAACAGGCATGGGCTAGGCCCTCGTCCTCAATACTCACTAGCTGTGTGACCCTGGCAAAATAATTTAAGCTCTCTGTGCCCATTTTACTGGTAATAAAATTGGGATAATTATAGTACTTACCATATATTGTTGTGAGGATTACGCGAAAGAACAGAGCACTTAGTAATGTGTGTGTGTCTGCGGTGTGCATGGGTCTAGACAGGGACACTGACAAGCTTAGTGAACAAGGTTACACGATCCAACTTCCAGGTGCTGCCCTGACAACACCAGGGCAGACAAATCCTGTCCCAATGGAGCACAAGGTACTAATTGAAATAGTTACTTCCAGGTAACGTTACTCAAAACCGAGTATGCCTCAGATCCCAGGCCCCATCTGGATTGATGATGCCTCAGAATCCCTGCAGGGTGGTACCTAGGAATCTGCATTTTTAGAAATTATTGAGATATAATTTACATATGAAACTCACCACTTTTAAGTATATAATTTCAGTGGTTTTTAGTATTAATATATTCTATTCATAAGGTTGTACAGCCATCACCACCATCTAATTCCAGAACATTTTTGTCAGCCCAAAGAGAAACCCTGGACCACTAGCAGTCACTCCCCATTCCATACTCTCATCCTCTGGCAACCACTGATCTACTTTCCCACTCTGTGGATTTGCCTGTAGTGGACATGTCACATGAATGTAATCGTACAATAGGTGGTTTTTGTGTCTGGTTTCCTTCACTTAGCACGATGTTTTCAATGCTCATCCATGTTGTAACATATATCAGGACTTCATTTCTTTGGAATCTGCAGTTTTAACAAGCTTCCCAGGTAGTTTTGATGAGTGGGCTTTGGAAGGAAGAGAGGAACAAATTCACACAAGGTGAGATTTCAGATTATTAGTAAGATACAGGCCAAGCTGGCTGCTTGCCTCCTCTGGAGACTGCAGAGGTTGGGCAAGATCTACTGGGCACTCTGTAGGGAGAGGTGGGTCTATAGACAGTGGCTTGGCAGATTAACTGCAAGAGACTCACACAAGGGGATTTAGCCTCAACTCAAAGACTTTAATGTATTAATACATTATGCTCTTGGAAAAACATCTCCAAGGAAATAAGTGGAACCAAGTCTTAACCAGCGGGGATTCTCATTCAAAAACCTGGTGTGAGCCCCAGCCTTGAAAAAGGCTAGCGCAGGGGCTCTGATCATAGTACAACAGTTCAAGGTCGGGGTGGCAGGGCCTGTGTGCCTGCCTAGAGACAGAGCTCTGCCCACAGAGCATGATGGGCGTGCCCTCAGGACTCTCAGGAAAACAGAAGCGCCATTACTCTGATGACTGACAGCTTCATAGCAGGCTGGGAAGATTTAGACTTAACAGGTCATCTCCAGTGTTTGAAAGAAAAGGCACAAAACTCCAACAGGGCCTAAGAAGCCTGCTCAGGACAAGACTCTCTTCTGTTGTTGACTCTCCAGGTCATCAGAAACAGTCACAGTGCCTCTGGTGAGGACGGGTACATATGGGAGGGTTGCCAGGTTCCACTTCTGGGCCTGAGGCCTCAGAATGAAATAGTAGGTGGCGACAGCACCAGCAAGGGCCCTGAGGCTAGGGGTCACACCAATCTCGAGAGATTACGCACTGGGGTCTCTGGACAGAATGGAATTTAGATGGCAAAAGCTAAAGCTGACCATGTGCCAGATTCAATCCAACTGTCTGCCTTATTATCCTCTTCCCAAAGTGGGGCCCTGGAGAGGACACAGGCCCAAGTTTTCTGTGCTGAACCCCTACTAAAGAGGGGCTGGCAGAAATTCTGGCTAATTTCCTCATTACCCTCCATTTAACTTCAAACAAGTCACCAACTCACATCTCAGACCCCCTGGGCAGTGCAGGGTTTCTTGTTTTCTAACCATCCTATGGAATAAGCAATCAGTTCTCTTGGACTTTTGATTCAATTTCTTCTCATTCAGAAGGAAGTAGGTTGCTGTTCCTTCTCTAAGAGCCCATCTGCAATTCAGTCAGCACCAAGGCCAGGCGGATAGGGAACCCACAAATGTGCCTTCAGGATGTGTATAGCCTCTTTGGCAATGAAGGAACTTATTTATTGGTGGAGGGAATCTCAGCTCCATTTTTGCAGAAACTGGTGAGACTGCAGCCCTGGCAGGTCCTGGGATAAGGAGGAAATGGAGAGGCCAGTACTACAGCAGGTGGGACAAGGCCCCTCAGGGCTGACAGCACTCCCAGAGTTAGCCAGTCTCGATGCCCTCAGGGAGCTCCACCACCACCGGGGCACAGTCCTCAGGTTCCGCAGCGAAGTCCCACCGGAACTTCTTGGTTAGGTGAGCTTGGAACTTTTCAGCTTTCTTCCTCAGGGTGGCATCCACAGCAATGCTGCAGGCGGAGGAAAAGAAAACCTACAGAGAACAGAGGGTCAGTCACTCCTGAGAATACAGAGGGGCCGAGAAAGTGCTGGAAATTTCCTCATGGGGCGAGTGGATCAGCTGTGCTGGCACAGGCCCAGGACACCTGCTGTGTTCCCCCCCAAACCAAGAAAGAAGGTCCAAACCCAGCTGAGATGCTGGGGCAGGACCAGGATGGAAAATTACTATCCTGGGCAGAGATGTCCCGCTGGGAGGAAGGCACCTGGGCAGTAAGTCAGAGGAAGAGGTAGTAGCCACCAGCTGGTACTGAGAAAGGCTTGGAGGGCTTATAAGCCCCTGGGTCCCATAAAGTCCCAGGCCCTAGGCCAACAAGACTGAATTACTCTTCTAAATGGGCCACAGGCTGCCAGTTTGAGGCTTCTATCCCCTTAAAAGCTGTCTTTGATTTTTTTTTTAACTGTGGTAAAATATACAGTCTCCAACTTACAATGGCACAAAGCGATATGCATCCAGTAGAAATCGTACTTGCAGTACCCATACAACCATTCTGTTTTTCACTTTTAGTACAGAATTCAATAAATTACATGAGATACTCAACACTTTATTATAAAGTAGGCTTTGTGTTAGATGATTTTGCCCAACTGTGGGCTAGTGTTAAGTGTTCTTGTTCTGAGCATGTTTAAGGTAAGCAAGGCTAAGCTGCAATGTTCGGTAGATTAGGTGTATTAAATGTATTTTTGACATAGGGTATGACAGTTTATCGAGATGTAATGCCGTAAGTTGAGAAGCACCTGTACATAACATAAAATCTACCATTTAAACCATTTTATTACATTTTCATTTTTAAAATTGTTGTAAAATATACATATTTACCATTTTAAATGTTTTTAAGTGTGTTGAGCAGCATTAAGTACATTCACATTGTTGTATAAACATCACCAATATCTATCTCCAGAACTGCCTCGTCTTTCCCAGCTGACACTCTGTTCTTATTATACAGTAACTTCCCAGTCTCTTCTCCCACCAGCTCCCGGCGACCAACATTCTACTGTCTCTATGAATTTGACTACCTCTTATAAGAAGAATCATTTAGCATTTGTTCTTTTGTGACTGGCTTATTTCCCTTAGCATAATGTCTTCAAGATTCATCCATGTTTAGCATGAGCCAGAATTCCCTTCCTTTTTAAGGCTGAATAATATTCTGTTGTATGTATATAGCACATTTTGTTTGTCCATTTATCTGTCACTGGCCATCTGAGTTGTCTCTGCCTTTTGGCTATTGTAAATAATGCTATTATGAATATAAGTGTATACATATCTCTTAGGGTCTCTGTCTTCAGTACTTTTGGGTATAGATCCCAAAGTGGAACTGGTGGATCATATGGTAACTCTGTTTAAATTGTGATGAACTGCCACACTGTTCCACAGACGTTGTAGCATTTTATATTCCCACCAGCAACGCATAAAGGTCCTAATTTCTCCATATCTTGGCCAACACCTGTTATTTTCCCTCTGTGTGTGTGTGTGTGTGTGTGTATTGTGTTTTAAATGATAGCCGTTCTGATTTGTGGGAGGTAGTATCTCACTGTAGTTTTGATTTGCATTTCTCTAATGATTAGTGATCTTGGACATCTTTTCATGTGCTTACTGGTCATTTGTATATCTTGTTTGGTGAAATATTTATTCAAGTCCTTTGCCCATCTTTAATTAGGTTTTTTGTTATTGAGTTGTAGGAGTTCTTTATATATTCCGGATATTAATACCTTATTTTGATGTTCTCATGAATTGTTTCATCTACTACAAAAAGAGCTAGGGGAACAGAACAGCAATTTTCTCCACATCCAAAACCCCATTCCTTCTTACACTGTTTTACCCTGCCTACCATTTCTTTTTTAAAGAGACAGGGTCTCACTCAGTCACCTAGGTTGGGGAGTGCAGTGGGCAATGACAGCCCACTGCAGCCAGCCTCGAACTCCTTGGCTCAAGTGATCCTCCCACCCACCTCAGCCTCTCGAGTAGCTGGGACTACAGATATGTGCCACCACACCCACCCAGCTAATTTTTTTTTTTTTTTTTTGGTGGAGATATGGTCTCATTACGCTGCCCATGCTGGTTGAGAATATTTTACTGTTTCAAAGAAGTTTCACAGAGTATCCAACTGGATACAACACCCTGAGAAGATACAGTTCCTATTTTAAGGAAAATGGAATCTGAGAGGACTTAAATGACTGAATCAAAATTACCCAGAAAGACTTGTTTTCTTCTCAGACTCCCATCTGCTAACCTGCAGGAGCACCCCAGAGACACAGGAGCACGACTGGACTATGAAAGAAGCTCTTTGACTGGCATTATCCTCATGCCATGGCTGGCCCTCAGGCCACCATGGGAGGATTCTGGACTCCAAGAGACCTGACCTGACAAAGGCAAAAGGCATCTTCTGCAGCCGACTCCAGGGACAATATTCCTCCCACTCGCTCCTCCACCATATTCCTGTTAGCAGGAGTGTGGCTCGTTTTCAGTGACGTTTGTTTGGGGCCATTCTGCTGGAGTGGCAACAGAGCCAGAAGTGACAGGAGTGGGGGCAGGTATAGAATTTGGCTTCATTAACTTGGGAATTGACTAAATATAGGAGTGGGAAGCACAGCCACAACAAAATGCCAGATCAATAACTAATTAGAGGGGCTTGTGTGATATTGGTGGCAAGAGGGCAGTGGGTAAGCCAGCAGTCCGTCTGTCTGGAGACAGCTAGTGGAGCCTGCCCTGCAGCACAGCTGAACTAGGGGGGAGGGGCCTTGTACGGGCAGCAGAGAAGCCTTCTTTCAAACACCATTGGCTCTGGAGGCCCTGTGCACTCATGGGTCCATCCCCAGAGGTTGTGGGGAGCCTGCTGGGCTAAATTAGCAAAAGCCCCTTCCTGTTCCCCTTCCTTACACAGTAAACTGTACTACTCTCTCTACAGCCCCTCCTGTCCAGCCACATGGAGCAGCTGCCCAAACATGCTCTCCTGCCTCGTGTGAGCCTCTACACATGCAAACATACTTTTCCCTGTACTTTTAATACCCTCCCACCTCCTGCCTTCTCCTTTTTCACTTAGCAAACTTTTACTGATGACTCAAGCTCAGCTCAGACATTACCTCCTTGAGGATGTCTTCCCAGACCAAGGGTGGGACAGGCGTTCTCCCCCGACACCCAGGGTTACCTTGATCATGGCCTCAATCTCAGTAAGGTAAGAGGCCATTTACTATGGATTCTCACCCAAGAGACAAAGAGCAACTCCAGAGCAATGACTCCTCTATTCCTGCATTCCACACTCTTGGCACAGAGTCTGATGCATGTAAAGGACCCATGAGATGTTTAACGGACAGAAGAACAAAGACGACCACAGGTTGAATTTTTTGACTCACTGTCATATAGTGCCTGACACCAAATTAATTGCTCAATAATTATGTGATAGTGCTGAAGAGAATAAGAGACTCATCCTAGAAAGGAGGTGGCTTATTTGCCAGGCCCCTGAATGCCGCCAGCTCACAAGCCACCTCCTGTGACAAGACAAGCTGAAATGAACCGTTCCAACCTCTGTTTCCTGAGCACTGTGTCTGAGCCTCCCTTATGGCGTTTCTCACGCTGTGCTTGCATCACAGCGATCTGCGCCCTCTAAATGTAGGGAATGAGTTCTAATTATCAATGTGTCCCACACAGCACATCACCCAGGGCCTGGCACAGAGTTAGGGCCCACAGGGCGCTCAATGAACAAGAATGAGACATAGGGATCACCACGCACTTGGCAATGGCCAGCAATGGAGGCTGGAACAAGCTGGGCTCATGCTCGTCACCCATCCTCCCCACCCACCTCTCAAGCACCGTCTGGGAGTAAAATCAACTAGTGGCAGGTACTAAAGAAATCTTCAGTCTAAAAAATAAGGCTTTTATGAATAATTTGAAAAGTGCTTCATCCTTTTTAAAGAGCTCATCATATTATTCTTTACCACAAACCCTCGAGGTAAGAGGACAGGAAAGTATTATTGCCATTGTACGAGGAAGACGCTAGGGTGGAGCATCATGTAGTGATAACTGCTGAGCAAGATCCAGTCCAAGCATGGACATCTCAGTTTACTTCTTCTTTCCTATCAAGACCTTCTGTCTTGATAGAGCCTTAATATTTCCTTGATACTTATTTTTCAGCATTGCCCTGTGGGGAGCCAAAGTGCTTCTGGAACTGTCCCCTCTGCAGCCTCCAGGCTCTAGAGGACAGTCCAGGTTGACTTTTTTTTTTTTAAACAAATCAAATTTATTGAGGTATAATTTATACACAATTAAATTCACCCATCTTAAATGTCTGATTCATTTGAAAAAAAAAATATATATATATAGACACACTCCCCCATGAAACCACCATATATGTTTATAGAGTTCTCTGTACGCAGTTCTGAGAGTTTGAAGGTCCACATAGATTTGTGTAACCATGACTACACTCAAGACACTGAACATCACTCATCACTCCAAAAAATTCCCTGCTACTGTCCCATAGAAGTCAAACCCTCCCCTCACCTCTAGGCCCTGGCATCTACTCATCTATTTTTGATGAGTAGTTTAAAAAACTTTTTTTCTCTGCCCCAAATGATCTGCAGGAAACAAACTTGATATTTTAAAAAACTCCTTACAATTCAGAAAAGGAGATGTTTAAATAGTACTTAGTTTCTAAGCAATAATTTATTCTGATTCTTTTATTTTCAGATTATGCCTTCTTCAGAAAACTTAGTGATGATTTGGTTATTTTATTTACCAAAGTGAAATCAAAGAAATACTTTTTAACATCACTGAGAAATAAATCATCTTAATCTTAGCAGATTAATCCTAAATATTTAAAAAATACTTTTGAATAGGATGATTAACATTTTGCAAACAAATGCATTTATTTAAAACAAATAGCACATCCATTGGGTGTTTTTCTTCAAATATAAAGTATTAATACTTTGATCATTAAGTCTGTGTATTTTAAAATTTAAATTACTTTAGTTATAAATGTAAAGGCTTTTTTAAAAAAAACCCAACTTAAATAAATTGAGTTCAGTCAGGTTACTTTGAGAAATTCAAAATATCAAGGTAGGTAGCTCAGTTACTATCTCATCCTATTTTTTGGCTAGACCAAAAAAATGAAGTTTCTTAATTTTTTCAATTCCCAAATAATTATTCAACTTAGAATGAAACTAGCCATTGGTAGAACATCTTATTTCCACTTGCAACAGAAGCAAGTGGTGTTAAAAGCAAAACCACTGCTTCACAATGATGACCCAATGATGAAGGTGAAAAGCAGTAGGAATCATGTCTTCTGAGGTCAGTTTAAAAAATTTGGGCTGTTTCATCTAGAACTCTAATCAGATATGGGAGCCCACCACAAGCTTTAGTGCCAGCTACTAGCTCTGCTGATCTTCAGCAAAATTATGTGACCTTCCTGAGCTTGTCTCCTCATCTGTACAATGGGATTATATACCTACCTTCTAGCACTGTTGTGAGAGCTAAATGAGATAATGCACACTAAGCATGCAAAATGCAAAAGCAACAGATGATGGCAGGAGGAATAGGAGTAGGTGAGTAAATTTATCACAGCTGGTGTTATGATAAAAGTACTACAGACACCATTGTCAGAGTGTTTTCCCTTAAGAGTTAAAGATGAACACTGGCATTTAGAACACTGGCAAGAAGAGAAGCTGGAAAGCATACATGGCCTATTGTGACTAAAGGTATTTTAAAAAAACAGTGACTATATGACTAAATACTATGCAATCAGCAAAAAAAAAATTTATTTTATACATAATACACTTTCTAACATACTATTAAATTCAGATTATCCTTTCATTGGTTTTAAATGAATTATGGTGACTTAAGTTGCTTTAAATAAAAGAAAAAACTGTATCTATTTTTGTAAAACAAATAATTTTTATTCAAGCTAAATCCAAGGGATTTGTGAAAACCAGTGGCTTCTATTCAAAAGGGCCTCACATGGGAAAGTAAAAAAAAAAAAAAATTAATGGCTGAGACCATTCCATTATGTGGCTGATTTTATCCATGCTAATGTGGCTATCTTTAAGTGCTTACACACACAAACATCAAGCCCTCTCCATGGGTAGTAGGCATTTAAGCTACTAAGTAAGAAAGCTGGTTCCACTTACTGGACTACCTGGGGCGAGAGCAGGAGGCTGGCTGAGCAAAGCTTTAAGGGCTGATTCATTCAGTCACAAACACCCTGAGTAAGTACCTCTGGTGGGGGACTGGATTCTCACTGCCAAGATGGCATCAACATTGAGTCTCCATTTAAAAAAAAAAGTTTTATAATATCCTTGTCCACATTGTGCCTTTTGAAATCTCAGTCATCCCTCAACTCATGGTCAAAATGCCCCTCTTTGCATAAAGCCATTCCTGATCCCCTATTCCCTCAAATCTCAACACCAGTCAGAATTAAACACTCCCTCTTTGGTGTTCCTGATGCTCTTTGATCAGACATCACAGATTTGTGATATTTACATTGCCCCAGGAATTATGCATTCTATCCATCTAAAAACACAAGATGAGATAAGTATAAGGCCTTGACAACATGTTGAAAATAACCAGATGAACAAAAAAATAGGCCTTGTGCAAAACAAGCTCATGACCCAGTGGGAGAGCCAGGCAGACAATATATTAATTTCAGCAAACACCTGTGCAATATAATAGTGACAAGTATTAATACAAAGTAGGCTAAGAGTATGGAAAGAAAGAAAGAGACAGACAGAGGAGGGATGGCTTCACAGAGGACACCTATAGGGCACATCATAGGATAAACAAATGCATACCAGGCAGAGGGAAAATCAGGTTCAGCCAAGGAGTGAAACATGAACAGCAAGTTTCAGTTATGCAAGATGAAAAAGTCCCAGAGATCCACTGGACAACACTGCACTTAAAGTTAATACTGCACTGAACACTAAAAATCTGTGAAGAGGGTAGATCTCATGTTATGTGTTTTTTACCATGACTGAAAAAAAAAGGAAGAAGAAGAAACAGCATGGCCTGTCTGGGAGCCTGCAAGGAGACCGCTGTTGCTGGAGTTGACAGGAGAAAACAGAGAGGAGGAGGAGAAAGCTGGAGAATAGGCTAAGAAATCTGATCAGAATAGGCCTTGTGACCAAGGTTTGGGCTTTTAATTTTCTAGGCAATGAGGAGCCACAATGAAATAGAATCTGAGCTGCATTTTGGAGCAGCAACTCTGGTGGCAGTGTCAGCTACCACCAGACAGATTGGCTAACAGGGCTAAGCATGGAGGCTGATCAACCCTGATGCCATCTAGGAGACAAGGCCTGCACTAGGGAAATGGAACAAGGGGCAGGACTGCCTTCTAAAACACCATTATCTGGAGTTATTTGGTTAGCTCATTTGTTTACTTTCCCAAAATATGAGTTCTAAGTCAGGGAGTTTATCTTGCTTACAGCTATATTCCTGGGTCTATAGCAGGACCTTGTATACAGCAGGTGCTCATTAAACACCTGTTAATCAACGAACAAATCCCTGAGGGCAGGAACTCTGGCTAACTCATGTATGTATTCCTCAACACTTTCAAAAGAATGTATATAAATGATGCTCAAAAACATACATATTTTTTAAAGGTGCATGCCCTGGATTTTTCCAAATAATACATCAAATTTTCTTGGTGAAAAGTCCAAAGACAGAATTTTTCCAACTATCAGCTTTGCACAACCCACCTGGGCAACCAGCAATCCAGCTGAGCCCTTTCTGCTTTGTAAATAATAGCTGGCAACAAAGCCTGAGCAATTAGAGCTCAGCTGTCAGTTGTGCTCACGATGGTCAGGACAGCCAGGGACACTATGGCCCCCTGTGTTTCTGCATCCCAAGGGTAGCACAGCATTCCCTTTGGCTGCAGCCACTGCCAGAGGCATGTTAGCAAGTAGATGCCTCCTCACACTGCCCTGAAACCCACAACCAGTACCTCTGAGGGATGGATTTTCCACACAGAGGAAGGATAAAGGGATTTCATTTCTCTGTTATATCAAGAACCAATAAAAGGGGAGTTAGCTTTTGTGAAGTGGGGTACACCAGGCTCAAGCAATCAGCTTGACTGACTCACCCCCATGGTCTGCACAAGTCCCCCAGCTGCCAGTTTTAAGTCAACTGCCTGCTCAAAGGGTCTCTTCCAACAGTCATTGGTTTTAGAAAAGCGTTCTGTACCTCTGAGAAAAAAGCCCCTGAGGGTATTTCCATGAATGTCAATCAAAAATCCTTTCTGGGAATCCATACTGTATTCACTACACAGGAGCAGGAACACAGGTACTAATCCAAGACTCAGGCCTGGGTATAAATCTGGACTTCCACTTACCAGCTGTGTGACTTCAAGTACATGATTTAGTCTGAGTCTCAGTTTTCTTATTTGTGAGATGGGGATGATCCCCTCTGCATTACAGGGTTCCAGAGAGATTAAATGAGGGAACCCACATAATATGATAAATACGGTGCTTGATACCCAATAGGCAGTTAATGAATGCTTGTTCCTTCCCTTATGAGGTGGGAGGGGAAGGTTAGTGAACAGCCGCCTCACATGGGGCAGGCCTCATGGGGTCTCACACACAGGGAAAAGAAAGCAGCTCATGAGAGAGAAAGTATGGAAACAGCAGCTTCTGGCTCTTATATGTCTGAAAAAGTTACACAATGTGAATGACAGAGGCCGTCCCAAGTACATAAAGAAAACTAATCTCTTTGCAAAGGGAGGAAATAACACAGGATGAAGATTGTAAGTTGTTTGAAGCTTCTTTCCTAATTACCACTCATAATGAAAATTTAATTGCCAAGTTAAAAGCAAATTTTCACTTTTTCTGTCAGAGAATCTCTGTGGAAACTGGTACATTTTGTTTGAACAGGAAATCAAAGTTACTTTAATGCTTAAATGAGATCTAAGGAACTGCAGATGTTTCACTGGGAATAACAAGCTTCAAAACTCTGCTTTACGGGGTTGCAGCAATTCACGGCTATAGGGAGAAAGAGAAGCTGTTTTGAGCTGAGTAAACCAAAGGGGTGGAAGGGATTCAAATCAAGATTAAGAAACTGAAATTAAGAAATCTTCAGGTCATGGAAGAATAGTGAGAAACAAAACACATACCACTGCCTTAATTCTGACCCATGTGAGGGTCAGCCAAAAGACTGCTCACCTGTAAGGTGCTGGTGAGGAAGTTGTCTTGGGAAACAATGTCTACAAAGAAGTCGGCAGGGATCTCACCAAGCTGGTGGTACAGGAGGGAGATGAGGTTGCTGTAGAGGGCATGGTGCTTCACCATGGCTGCTTCTGACCGGCACAGGAGGTTCAGGAGCCTCTTCCAGTGCTCAAATGCCTCGTACACGTTCCCCAGCAGGAAGCACACAAAGGCAAACTGGAGTTCACCTGCAAGGTGCACATAGGAGAAATGATTCTGAGAAGAGGACCAGCTGACACTACCCTTCACTGTTCACAAGGCCGTCAATTCCACTGGCCCTCAGCAATGGGTGACCTTTTATCCTTGTCATTCCTGCAGACCCTTGTATGGGATTTTGCATCTAGCAAGGTACTCAATAAATGTTTGCTGAACTGCCATAAATTCAAGCCAATTGAGACTAAACTGTGGCTTTGTATTTCTGTGAAAGCAGAGTGCAGGAGAAGAGATAGAGATTATTTGCCTGGCATTTTAAAAGTTTACAAAATGTGTCCATGGATATTATGCCAAGTGGATCCCAAACCTGGCTGCCCATCAAAATCACTAGGAGAGCCAAGTCACACTCTGTGATTCTAATTGAGGAAAGAGGATGGGGCCTCAGTTTTTGTAGCTCTAACAAGCTTCCCAGGTGATTCTGATGTAGATGATCTGCTCCAAAGTCAGGGAAATGCTGCATTATACCAGGAAACCTTCAGCCCAACTCCACAAGGAGTTAATCAGGGAAGGTGGTATTTGCCTCATTTTATAGATGAGGTCAAGGGCTTGCCCAAGCTTGCCCATCTAATGTGTCATGATATGAACAATGGAAAGATAAATTCTTCATTGGGTAGGAATAGTTCTAGAAACTTCCACAACAGGAAAATTCATGAGTACTTATTCCAGGGTTAGCCTTCCAGCCAGATTATTATTATTTTTTTTATTTTTATTTTGTTTTTGAGACAGAGTCTCACTTTGTTGCCCAGGCTAGAGTGAGTGCCATGGCATCACCCTAGCTCACAGCAACCTCCAACTCCTGGACTCAAGCAATCCTTCTGCCCCAGCCTGTAGCTGGGACTACAGGCATGTGCCACCATGCCCGGCTAATTTTTTCTATATATATTAGTTGGCCAATTAATTTCTATCTATTTATAGTAGAGACGGGTTCTCGCTCTTGCTCAGGCTGGTTTCGAACTCCTGACCTCGAGCAATCCGCCAGTCTTGGCCTCCCAGAGTGCTAGGATTACTGGCGTGAGCCACCGCCAGGCCACCAGCCAGATTATTTTTGTTTGTTTAATCATAGGGCTCTGTGATGTAATCTCTATGAGCAGTCTGGTGGCTAAGAGCATGGGCTCTGGAGCCAAACTGCCTGGATGCAAATCTTAGCTCTACCACTTAGCAGCTGTGTGACCTTGGGCAATTTACTTAATCTATTTAAGCCTCAATTTCCTTATTTGAGGGTTGTAGCAAAGATTAAATTAATCGATACAGTACATGTAAAGCATTTAGAATAATACCTGGCACAAAGTAGCACTCAAAAAGTACTACTGTTTTCAATTTCCAGTAGATGCTGGAAGAAAGGCATCTTAAACAAAAAGACCTGATGATCCAAAAGCCACTGTCGGTGGGCAAGCAAGGGGGTCTCTGGTTGCCACAGTTATACTGCAGCTGATATTCTCTCTGGCTTCAAGGGTGGCTGTAAATTTAATGAGGTATAGACACATGTGTACCATAAAAAGAACAGATGCACTTGGACAAGGTGGCTCTTGCCTGTGATCCCAGCACTTTGGGAGACTGAGGCAAGAGGATCACTTGAGGCCAGGAGTTCAAGACGAGGCTGGCTAACAAAGCAAGATCTCTGTCTTCACAAAAAATTGTTTAAAAAATTAGCCAGGTCTGGGCGTAGTGGCTCTTGCCCATAATCCTAGCACTTTGGGAGGCCAAGGTAGGGACCCCTTGAGGCCAGGAGTTCAAGACCAGCCTGAGCAACATAGTGAAACCCTCCACCCCCTGACCCATCTCTACAAAAAAAAAAAAAAATAGAAAAATTAGCCAGGTGTGGTGGTGAACTGCTGTAGCCCCAGTTACTCAGAAGGCTGAGACAGGAGGATCGCTTGAGCCCAGCAGTTTGAGGTTGCAGTGAGTTATGATCATGCCACTGTACTCTAGCCCGGGCAACAGAGTAAGACCCTGTCTCAAAAAAAAAAAAAAAAAAAAAAAAACTATATTGTGAGGGTTTTAATTTATGAAAGGCTCCTTCTCTTTGAGTTTGCCTATCCCCATGTTGCTGTCTTTCTACACATACTTTCTTGCATCTCTCTTTTCAGTATTTTTTTGTGTAGATTTTTTTTCTCTATGTGTTTGTCTTGTACTTTTTCTAATATGAGGATCTCTCTATGTAACACTGTATATATACATGTGATTATGTATCATTTCCTGTGCTCATGTATTTATT